ACGGCAGCGTGTCCAGTGGAGGTCTGGTATTCAGGCTGCCCAGGCACCTTCTGCCACAGTGACCCCACACACTTCTGGTTGTGACTCAAGTCCTACCCAGTCCTTCTATTAGGTAGTGCCTGTACCCTACCAAAAACCTCACTGAAATTGATCCTGACTGCTCATTTTGTGATAGAAAACCTGGAGGCTGCCTGAACCCTGGTCAAGGAGCTGTTTCAGGTTGTAGAGGCACAACTCAGGCAAGGTTGATATCAAAACTCTGGCTCCTAAATCATCTCTCCTGAATCCTAAAGGTGCTTCAGACAAAAAACAAACCCCTTTCTCCTATGTTGCTTGTTCGCAACAGTAAACTCTCCTTTTTATTGTCTGCGGAAGCTGCCTAGACCATGCAGACCCAGTCCTGTCTCCAGATCCTCCTTCCCCAGCACATCAACCCTTCCCTGCAATTCTTGGCTGAAATTCAGAAATGTCTAAATGCCTCCAGAAGCTACTGATATATTTGTGGAGTTTCTGGAAGCGGGAATAAAACCTAAATAAAGGTCTCACAGCTGCAAGGTAAATAGGGTTAGTATCTTCAGCAGTCTAGCAAACCATGAGAAAGTCTAAAGCAAAGAAGGAAGCATGGGCCTCGGGATAGGACGAGGTGCTGGAAGACAAGACAGAAGGTGCATGGGCTGTGTGCTTTGAGGGCTTCTCTTTGGCTTTACCCACTCCTCACAAGTGACTGTGAGAGGTTGGAGGTGTCTACTGGTTGCGAGCTAGAAGGAAAGGCAAGGTGAAATGGATTCCTTACTCCAGGAAGCTGGTGATGTAATCCCTGCTGCATGTGGACCATACAAACGGGTTGGTCTTCATGGTGATGTGAGCAGCCATGAGCTTGGCCGTTTCTTGCCCACGAGAGCCACAGCTGTTTCCAACCCCATCGTGGTTCATGCCAAACCTAGAAAGCATCCCCAAAGCAATAGAGAAATTATCAGCTACTGCATTTTCAATACATCTGTATCATAAGAGAGACATAGATCTGTTGGAGCGTGTTCAGAGGAGGGCCACAAAGATGATCCAGGGGCTGGAGCACCTCTGCTACGAGGACAGGTTGCGGGAGCTGGGATTGTTCAGCCTTGAAAAGAGAAGACTTGGGGGGGACCTAATAGCTGCCTTCCAATACCTGAAGGGAACTTACAGGAAGGCTGGGGAGGGACTTTTTACAAGAGTGTCCACTGATAAGACAAGGGGAAACGGGGTTAAGTTGAAGGAGAACAGATTTAGATTAGATCTTAGAAAGAAATTCTTCAGTACAAGGATGGTAAGACTTTGGAATAAATTGCCCAGAGAAGTTGTGGATGTCCCCTCCCTGGAGGTGTTCAAGGCCAGGTTGGACGGAGCCTTGAGTAGCCTGATCTAGTTGAGAGGCGTCCCTGCCCATGACAGGGAGGTTGGATTAGATGATCTCTGAGGTCCCTTCCAGCCTATGCCATTCTATGATTCTATGATTCTATGATACACACTGTTGTCAAAAGTCCCTCTCCAGCTTTCTTGTAGGCCCTTCCAGCCTATGCCATTCTATGATTCCATGATCCATAGAAAGGATTTTTCAGCTCCTGTTGGCCTTTCCTTGTGACAGTCACTCCCAAGGACTCTTCTGGCATGGTACTCACGTGTGGCCGATCTCATGGGCAATGGTGAAGGCCGTGGCCAGGCCAATGTCCTCGTTGATGCTGCAGCTTCGTTCTCGTTCACACATCCCACCAACGGGGGCCAGGCCTAGGGAAGCCAGATAGAGTTGTCACATAGGGCCAGCACAAAGCATCTGCAGGGGACATGGGTGGTATTTGGGGACTAACTGATGTGCCTCACACTCACTAACACTGAGCATAGCCTGCTGTTAACAAGAAGTTTCTTCCTACCAGTTGCACTGGGCTTTGGGATGGACTCATGGCTCTTAGGGGCTGTGGGCACAGGGTCACTCAGCACTGTCAACTAATTTAACAATGACAGGCTCAGAAATGCTATGAACGCATCAAAATCCTTTGAATTTCATATCCAAACACTGGACTGTGTGCAGAGGGGATCAGTCCTTGTCACATTGTCACAACACTGGCACTGCTGGTGGAGGATCCTGAGATGAGCTTCACCAGCACTTGGGCATCTGAACCCAGCCAGGGCAGCCTGGAAAACCAAGTAAGCCAGGATTCAACCTCACCATCTGCGCTTGGTTCTGGCTGACACCCACCATGATCAGGAATCCAGCCTGACTCCATCTGGAGGGCTGCATCATGCAGAAATTCCCCTCAGATTGTGGCAGTGAATTCCCCCAACTCTCTGCCCATACACTATCCCACCACTGTGGACTGTACCCGCTGCACCGGGCCAGGGAAAGAACAGTCTCTGTTAAAGGAACGAATCGAGCCATCACAGCATCTCCAGCCTCAGTCTCCCTACCAGGCACCTTCTCTGTAGCTGCATCAGGTCAGAGATCCACAAACTTTTCCTTTTTAACTGCGGTGATTCAGAGCAGTAATCCCTCCCTGACTGCTTAGTCTAGACCAGGGCAAGAAAAATTAGGAGCTACAGCCAGAGAGAGCTGCAGGGTCTGTCTGCGTCTAGCAATTTAAATAAAGAACTCCCTTTATAGTCATCACAAAAAAGTCTTATTTCTCTCTGCTAAGCCAGGAATACTCCACTAGGCTATGGACCAGCCCTAGATACGAGCAGTTCTTAATCATCAGGCTGGACCCAACCCAGGGATAAAACAGAGAAGTGTTCCAGAGCCCATCCATCCTCTGGGTTGCTGCTTTTAGTGTTTACAGAAGTGAGGAGGCTACACGGTCAAGCGGGATGGAAACCACGGGGCTGTTCCTGGCTCCGCTGTTGGTGTGTGCAGTAGCATTGGGTGAGTGCTTCCCCTCGTGCAGCCCTCCTTCCCCATGCTCCCGAAGATGTGTGTGTTGGTGAGGAGTGCTGCCGAAGGGGCAGCAAAATCCTACCTACCCAGGGTGCCGCACGGTTTGTTTTTGTAGATGCAAATGTCATATCTGCAAAGAAGAGAAGGCAGCATTAAGAAAACTTACAATTTTGGCGGCTCCAAAATCTTTCACAAGGGCATCTCCATTTTACCGACGTGTTCACACCCAAAACACTTCAAAAGAGCCCACGTGGCTCATGCGGCACTTACGGAATAGAAAGCACCGACTGTAACGGGTAAGATGCTTCTGATCCGCATTGAACAGCACTCACTCTCCCCGGGCTGAGACTCACTGTCGGTTTTAGTGACAGCTCCTGTCCCTCAACCATGGGGCAGTGCTGAGAGAGGTCAGAGGTTTGGGTTTGATGAGATGTGGTTAAGTCAGCGGGGACAATGCTATTCCAGTCTTGAAGCATTTTGGGTTTGGGTTGGTGGTCCGGCTCTGCTCACTAGCACCCAGTTCACTCCTGGGAGCTGACTGCTTCTCTCCTGGGAGCCGACTGCTTCTCTCCTGGGAGGCATTGGGCTCAGGGATCTGCCCCAGCAGCGCAGGGTGAAAGAGGAGAGGGCCAGCCTCCTGCCTGTAAACTCAGATCCTTTGCAGCAAATCATATCAATCAAAGATGTAATTCGGAATTTTTTTAAAAAAAACAAGGAAAAAATTTCAGTTTGAAAACACGTTCCATTTCAAAACTCACTGTGGTTTCATTAAAATGCTAAAGTGACTTTATAATTTTTTCAGTTTAGTTCTTTACTGAGAATTTTCCAAACAAATTCAGTGTGGGTTGATTCAAGATGACTCTTCCCTCTGCTCCTGGCCTCCACTTCCAGCCATTGCATCAAGGAATTGACTGTTTGCACATCGTTAGCTGCATACAAGGAAAAGTTAAATGAGGACAGCAAAGTAAAATCTCCTCCGAATTGAAATGCAGCCCCCTCACAATGCCATGTCCCAGCAGCTCCAGAAGAGACTAGTTTGGGCCAAAGAGTGAATATTATCATTTAATTGTGAAGACAAGCCGCGTGTCCTCCCTGACTCTGTTCAAACACCTTCTCCAGAAGGTGAGACTCCCCAGACATCTGGGTCTTTGCAAAACCTGGGCTGAAAGGGGCAAGGCTAACACTCAAATCCGCGTAGGGTGGGCAGGTGGAGGGGATGGGCAGCAGCTGGGCTGGGACACCCCAGAGCCATGTCGAGATGTTGCTCCTTAGCCCCGAGGTGCATTTCAACTCACGTAGGGTGGGCAGGCAGCGTAGGGGGGATGGGTGGCAGCTGGGCTGGGACGCCCCAGAGCCATGTCGGGGTGTTGCTCCTTAGCCCCGAGGTGCATTTCAACCTGAGTGTGAGCTGGGCTCAGAACACGGAGGATGCTGACCACGGTGTGGGTTTGGGGGATGCCCGTACAGTGAGCAGGACCATCTGACACCGCCCGCTCTGGCAGCCCCGCAGGGACGAGAGCAGGGAAGACAAACGCTGATAGCACACGATGGGTTAAATGTAACATGTTCCTGGTGATGGCTCCTGTCCCTTTGGCCCCAGTGCTCTCTGGAATTGTCCAAACCTCTCACCCCCGGCAGGAAATTGAGTGAGTGAAAAACATTTGTTGCTTTGTTTTGAGCGAATACTGTTAAAGCCTAAAGAGGCTCTGGTTTGACACGTCCCTGCAAGAGAAAAAAGCCCACAGCTCAGCAAGATGTTATCGGGAGACGGGGAATTTGTTATGGGGCCGGATGCATTGGTGCTGTCCAGGCTTGGCATGGCTGGCCCAGCAAGTCGCCTCAGGTCAGCTCAAACATCTGGCGGGAGGCCGAAGAACTCGGAGCCGGTGTTTGCATCCTGCACGTGTGGCGGGAGGAGAGGAAAAGCAGACGCTGCAGCCCCGGGAGGGGGAAGCTGAGGCCGAGGGGCCTTTGACTCACTCCTCCCCTGGTACTCGTGTGCTCTCATCTCACGAGCTCCCTGGGAAGGATGCGCCAGGCTGCACGCGGCTGCCGGCACCGCTGGGAACTGGAGCAGGAGAGCGGTGCATGGTGCCAACAAAACTGAGTCCCGCTTGGAGGCCCCCCTCTCCAGCACTTTTGTTTTACGACTTTCTTCCACTCCATAAAAGGGGGAAAAAAGGTGCAAAGAAATCTTGCGTTTGCCTTTGGCTTCTCCCCAGGCCGCTGCCCCTCTATCCAAGCAGGGTTTATGGGGGCACAGAAGAGCCAGTGCCCCGCGCACCTCGCAGCACTGCTGAGAGCTGCCTCTCAGTGCCCTCCATCCCCACCATCCTTCCAGCTCTCCCTTCAGCATCCTCTGTCCTTCCAACCTCCCCTCTGTTCCTTCCACTGTGCCTGTCATCCTCTCTGCATCTGCTCTCCTTCCAACCATCTGTCTTTCCAGCCATCCCTCCCATACCCTCTGCTGCTGCAGGCTCAAGCACCCATCTATTCTGATGGGAGTTATTTGTCCTGCAGGTACAGGTTCAGACCCCTTCACCCAGCTCTGGAGGTCTAATTCAGCATCCAGGTTAAGCTGCTGACCTAGACCATTGTTACAAGAGTGGAGAGACACAACTGGGGCAGGACTGCCCTCGTCCTAAGGGAGCTGGGATAAAGTCACTACTTCAGGGGCATCCAGCAGCTACCAAAGAGAGAGTTCAGCCCTACATGTAGGCACCTAAAATGAGGCGAACCAAATCTCGTACTGGCTGGAGGCACTCTGTCACTGTCATGACACCCAGGTCCCACTTCTATCTTCTTCATCTTTCACAGTGAGGGTAGATGGGGCTCTCCATTTCAGTAGGATTCCCGGTGCTCCATGTCTCTGGAGTGGGCTCCCACACATGCTCAACACCACTGTACACACTGTGCCATTGACTTTTGGTGCACAGATACCTGTGGCTGCAAACTAAATTCCTTGAGAGCACAACAAAGTCTGAAGGAAAACACTGGAGGCCGATAACTCTCTGAACTGCAATAATCTGCATCGCTGCAAGGGAACGGGCAAGTGGCCAGCCTGAGGGACAGCCACTGCCAGGCAGCTCGTGGGGAGCACGTGGGAAGGAAGCCTCGGATGAACCACTTGGGCAGAGATGGAGGACAGCTGTACTGAGGACAGCCCCCATGAGGACAGCACTGCTGGGGCTGGGCTCAGCCTTACCTGGTGATCAGCACTGCAGTGTCATGGTTGGCTATGCCATTCTCGGGGATAGCATTCCCATTGCCATTCCTGTTCACGATGGATTTCTGCCACTTGCAGAAGCTGTCCAGGGATTTCCCAGCGTGGTGGTTAATCTCCAGTGTGGGCTGGAATGGAAGCAAAATGACAACGTGGCCCCAGGAAAGCTCTGACATGAAGGCACTGCCTATTCCCATGCCAGCAGAACACTGACACCAGATGCCTTCACTTTTTCACAGAGCCCATGGGGAAGGAAGATTTTAGGAGGACTGAAGCCACTTTCCTAAAGCCACCTCATCATAGAAACAGTCCTCAGAGTCCCAGAGGTCTGCTCAGCCTAAACCTGGTCCCCAGCTGTCATTGAGAGGATGTGGTGCACCCAGCAGACTGCAGTGGGGGACCTCCCAGGGTGACATCCTGGCAACACACAGACCCATGAAGCAAATGCAGACACGTGATGGAAGCACCTTGGCGAAGCCCACCTTACCTGATCCTCAGTGAGGAGAATCAGCCGGGTCACCAGGATATTGACAATATTGCCCAGACTCGAGTCCTGGAAAAGTTTGGCAACCTGACCTCCAAGAAACAAGAAAAGACGAGTCTTAAAAATGAGCTCGCTGGCTGGGCGACAGAGCAATGGTTGGCACGTGCTGGGCGCTTGGTGGAGGGAAAGATGGCTGCTTCGTCACTGTGGGCTGCAGGGTCTGAACACAACCTTCTTAGAAGGCAGAAACGGGTATGGGACTCCATGTCACCACTTGGATTGCAGAGCCTCCTAAACCATGACCGGACCTCACTGTCTCCTTCTGGGGAGGTTCGAGCAGTGAAGCTGACATCCCGCAGCACCTGCTCCTTGCCTGGAGCTCGGGTGGGGAAGTCGCGTGGTCCTGGCATTACGCAGCCACAGGGACGGAGCTTTGCCGACTGCCCATCGGCGGGGAAGGACGCGGCATCTCTCAGAAATCTGCTGCCACACGATGGGTGTTTTACAGCAGATGAAACAGTTAGAAACGGTATTGTTTTAAAATCTGGCATCTGCTTTAGAAATGCAAACAGAGCAAGCCATGAAAAGAGATCCTGCAGAGGACAGGACAAAGAGCCGTCACAGAGGCGCTTTCAGAGGTTTGATGGATAACTTCCAAGCCTATCTCACCTCACAGGAGGATTCAGCACGGCCAATTGAGGCTGTTAATGCATCTAGCCTGGTACCCTGCTGCCAGCGCTGACCCAAATGTGATGCTGCAGAGGAAGCTCCTCCGCAGTAACGCGGAGACGTGGGCAGCATGGTATGGAAGAGTGAGGGTATTTCTTCCTGCCCCTCATGCTGATCAGCCCCTAAGCGTGAGAGCTCACTGTCCTTACGCTTTCCCATGTGTTTCTCAGCTTGGCTGGCCCTATTTGCAATGCTAATTTGAGATGAGAGATGCTGTTCAAAGAAGGGGCTTTGTTCTCTCAGACCAGATCTGGCCTGTAGCATGGTCAGATGGGCCAGAGATTACCTCTCCTATAGTGCCTCCCCTGTACAACAGAGAGTCCCTGCGGGCTCTGGGGTATCGCTGCTCATGAGCAGCAGCAGGACGTCGGGATTTTTGACACAAGCGTCTTGCTCT